GGACTGATTTCAGCAGTCCTAGCCCTAGCCGAAAGGGGGAGAGCTTCTCCACAACTGCAGCTTCGAAGCCCCAGCAAAACCAGCATAGCACAGTGGTAAACAGCTCCAAGTTCAGGTTGGTTATCAGTCTGGAACCTCTCACCACTGCTGTACCCGAACTGCTTCAGCTCAAGTGAAGATTACCTAGGGAGCTGCCTGCTCCAGATTGTCCAGCACTGTGCCCGAACTGCTCTAAGACTGAAGTCAGCATGTCCTCACTATCCGGAGAAGTTTCATCCAGAGATAACAGACCTGCCGCAAGGTTCTCTAACCTGGAAAACCCTAGTCTGCACAGTTTACAGATTACAAACGTGTTGCTGTATGAATATAACTTCAGAGAGTGCTCCGTCTCAGCAAGGCTGTTCATTACTTCTCGTGATCTCACCGGCTATCTGGATGGAGACAAGACAAACGTGTTGGCAGTCCTGAGCATGTCGTGTGGCACAAAGAGAATGCCACAGTCATGTCTTGGTTGCTGGCCTCCATGACTCCCCGGGAGGCTAGAACTGTTTATCATTTCCCCACAGCTGCGAAGATTTGGGAGAAAGAATCCAAAACCTATGGCCAGAAAAAGAACAATGCTATAATCTACAGATTGAACCAAGATATTGCAGCTCTAAGGCAAGGAGACATGTCCGTGGCAACATATTTTGCAACCCTGGAAGGCCATTAGGAAGAGCTAGATCATCACTTGATATTGGATTGGGAAAATGCCAGGGACAATGAGAGACATGATAAGCAAATTGAAGAGAGCAGAGCCTTCAAGTTTCTGGCTGGCCTAGACCCAGTATATGAGGGTATAAGGTAACAAATTCTAGGGAGAGATGAATTACCGGAGCTTCACCATGTCTATTACCTGGTGAGGAATGAAGAAGTCAGGAGAAGGGAGATGCAAGTTGACTCCCAGACACAGTCAACCGGACTATCTGGAGAACATTCAACCCTAGTCTCAACTAAGGGAAATAGATATCCAGACAAGAAGTCCCTCAAGTGTACCCATTGTGGTAGTGAGAAACACACAAAGGAGAAATGTTGGGTCTTGTATCCTCATCTGAAGCCAGCTGCTTTGAGAAAGGACAAAAGGCAACATAAGGGTCACACAGCAAGTGGGAATCTTGCCACCAACAACAGTAGTGACAACTCACAGAGTACTCCGACAGTGTCCTC